GGAGTTTTATTCATAACATCCCCAAATAAGAAATACTCCAAATGTTCATCCAAGGAGAATTGACACATTGTAGCATATTCATACAATGAAATACTCCTCAGCAACTTTGTGGTTTTGTTTTTTTTTTTTTTGAAAGAAGGGAAGAAAGAGAGAGAGAGGCAAGGACGGAGGATGGGAGGGAGGGAGAAAGGAAGAAGGAAGGAAGGAAGGGAGGGAGGGAGGGAGGGAGGAAGGAGGGGAGGAAGGAAAGAAGAAGGAAAGAGGGAAATAAGGAAGGAAGGAGAGAGGGAGGAAGGAGGGTGGGAGGAAGAAGGGATGGAGGAGGGGAGGGAGGGAGGGAGAAAAGGAAGGAAGGGAGTGAGGGAGGGAGGGAGTGAGGAAGGGAGGGAGGAAGGAAGGAGGGAGGGAAGGAAATACTGTAGTGCTGGTATAAGACACAACATGGGTGAAATAAAAACTGTGAAACTGAGCCAAAGAAATCAAATAAAAAAGTACACACACTGTGATTTTACTTATGAAACTCACAAATAGGGAATACCAATCTCTGGTAACCAGAATCAGAGGAGTGTTTACCTTTGGGAGGTAGGGACTGAGTGAAAAAGGGTACATGGGAACATTCTGGTATCGTGGAAATGTTAGGTATCTTGACTGGGGTGAGGGTTACATAGGTATATGCATTTGTCAAATTGCATTTCAATATATGTAAATTTCATCTCAACTTAAAAATTTTGGAAGAAAAAAAGAATATGTACTTGGAAATTAGGGAGTTATTGGGGACCAAGGTTGATTAACTGGAGACCTTACATGGGCATCATTTTACTATTTATAAAGTGAAATATATCCGTATTGTTTATGTCTTGACAACTCCATGTAGAAGTGACAGGTTATTATTTTTCCCTACAGTGAGGACTAAGTAAGTCCCAAAGGAGTTGCATGACTAGATGAAGACAATAGAGCTAGTTAGTAAGAGCACTGGAACGAGAATGTAAATATGACCAGGAGGATGTCACTGTTCGTCCTCCGCCTATCTTCCTTGTCCTGCAGCTTCTTTCCTTAGCAATTATGTGTCAAACAGAAACCTCTACTGAGCCAAGTGTTTATATTTTTAGCAAACACTTATTAAGGGCCCATTATATTGTGTCCCAAGTGCTGAGGATCAAACAAATAAGATATGCTGGTCTTAGAAGAGACATTTTCCAAAAAGGAGAAAGACCAGTAAACACAAAATACTGATAATGGTAAGAGATGTGACAACTGCTGTAATGGACGTGTGTGCGATGGGAAACGCCTCCATCTCAGTGTGAGGAGCTGGACATCGTTTCAGCTGTCTTAACAGGTGGGTTCATCCGGGGTGGCAGAAGAACAGTGGACCAAGGAAGCACCACCTACAAAGCTTGAAGGATGGCTGCAGTCTGGGGTTTGTGAGACAAAGTATCGGGAAATTAACCTAGAAAGGTAAACTGGCACCAGATTGGAAAAGGTCATTTGCGAAGCCAGGAAGTTGGGATGTTATAGGTAGAAAGTGGCAAAAAATGGATTTGCATTTTATTAAAGTGATTCCAGCCCTTGTAGGTGGATGTTCTGAGGTAAAGGCACATTACAAGAAGAAACCATGATGTTATGTTATCATGACCATTAACAGCATCTCTTTATTTTCTCTATTCCCAATGTCCCCTCCTTTTGAGGATGATATGCCATAAAAAGGAATTCTGGGCAATTTCAATATTCTTTTTGTTGTTGTTTTGTTTTTGTTTTTAAGTAGGCTCCACACCCAGCATGGAGCCCAGCATGGACCTTGAACTCACGACTTGAGATCAAGACCTGAGATGAGATCACAGGTCAGACACTTAACCAATTGGGCCACCCAGGTACCCCAGCAATTTCAATATACTAAGATAGGAACTAAAGCTATAGATTGTCATACAACACTACGTAATTAATCAAGCCCAAAATAAAATAGTCCTGTGTGCTGGTGCTCTCACTACTTTCCTCTCTCTCCATCCTCTCTCTTTCCATTTATCAACATTTTACAAATAGAAATTAGCTTAAGATTAAAGGAAATGTTTCTTATTTTTACCTGCAGTTCCTTTAAAATAATGACACATTGCTGCATTTTCATTAACGGGAATCTACAATAGACAACCAAGACATGGATTCTCTTCCAAGAAATCCTTCCTTTAATTCATTAGGTTACTGTGGAAATAAGAATTTTCCTTCAGAGATTTGTAATTTCTGATTTTCAAATGTTTTTGAGTCCTTGAACTCATGTCCTCTGCAAAACAGCATCAATATACCATCAGCACTCCAAGAACATGAAATGGGCAGGAGATATAAATGGACATTTCTCCGAAGAAGACATACAAGTGGCCAACAGACACATGGAGAAAAGTTCAACATCACTTGCCTCAAGGAAATACAAATCAAAACCACAATGAGATAACACCTCACACTAGTCAGAATGGCTAAAACTAACAATTCAGAAAGCAGATTTGGGGAGGATGTGGAGAAAGGGGAACCCTCTTACACTGTTGGTGGGAACGTAAACTGGTGCAGCCACTCTGGAAAACAGTATGGAGGTTCCTCAAAAAGTTAAAAATAGAGCTACCCTACAACCCAGCAAGTGCACTACTAGGTATTTATCCAAAGGATAAAAAATAGTGATTCAAAGGAGCACATGCACCCCAATGTTTATATCAGCACTATCCACAATAGCTAAAATATGGAAAGAACCCAAATGTCCATCAACTGATGAATGGATAAAGAAGATATGGTGTGTAAATATATAGTGGGATATTACTCAGCTATCAAAAACAATGAAATCTTGACGTTTGCAATGATGTGAATGGAACTACAGTGTATTATGCTAAGTGAAATAATTCAGTCAGAGAAAGACAAATACCATATGATTTATTCATATGTGGAATTTAAGAAGCAAAACAGATGAACACAGGAGAACAGAAGGAAAAATAAAATAAGATAGAGAAAGAGAGGGAGGCAAATCATAAGAGACTCTTAAACATAGGAAACAAACTGAGGGTTGTTGCAGGGGAGGAGGGTAGGGGGATGGAGTAATGGGGTGAAGGAGGAGGGCATTAAGGAGGGCATGTGATGTAATGAGCACTGGGTGTTATATGCAACTGATGAATCACTAAACGCTACCCCTGAAACTAACACCACACTATGTGTGAACGAACTTGAATTTAAATAAAATGATGAAAGAATAAAAAAGAACATTTAGCATTGTTGAAATGTAAAGAGAATCACTAAAATCAAACCCAACTCCACTCAGTGAATAATAAAACCTAAGAGTCTACAATGATACCTCCCTGAAGGTGCCCAATCCTATCTGATCCTGGAAGCTAAGCAGAGTCAGTCCTGGTTAGTACTTGGATGGGAGAGTAATAAATCCTAAGAGGCTATTTACATCCATCTATTTAAAATCTCTTGGTTTGTTTTTGGTTTGGGTTTTTCCATTATCACCTACCTAGGTAAGAGTGTTCAGAGTCAGAAAAAAAGAAACTAAATTGTTCTGGATCATGAAAATTTTAACTTTGTAAGAATAGTGGGCTTTTTTCCAAATTTTAAAGATTCTGGAGGCAATCTGCTCTTCCACCCTTTGAAAATGAAATAAATACCACAATTACTCCAAGCAAAGTAAAAGAGATTATTCTACATACTGGAGAGGAAATTCAAGACATAATCTTAAAAAGTTTTATCTCAGATCCCTATCCATTTGGTACTGCACCAGGGATTTCAACCAAGGGAACTGCTGGTCTGGAAGTCACATTATACCATTTTATTCCCCAGTCCCATTATTTCAAATTTTTATACTTGTGGCCTTAAAAAAGAAGTAAATAAGAGAAAACAGAGTCTATCTCAGGAGAGAAGCCTTCTGTAGCTTCTTAGCCCCTATTCTGAAGTATAATCCATGAGGGTTTAGTTTTCCAAGAGACTAAAAGATTGTAACCTACAAATTGTATTTCATTAGGGTGCCTGGGTGGTTCAGTGGATTAAGCATCTGCCTTCAGCTCAGGTCATGATCTCAGGTTCCTGGCATTGAGCCCTTCATTGAGCAGAGAGCCTGCTTCTCCCTCTCCCTCTTCCCTCCTCCCTGCTTGTGCTCTCTCTCTCTCTGTGACTCAAATAAATAAATTAAATCTTTAAAAAAAGAAATATTATTTCACTCTTATTATTAATACAGGTGAAAAACAGTATCCTAATCTAAAAATGCGGCATAAGAATGTGGAAAAAACAAGTTTCAGGAAATCAAAAATCACCACTCCAGATCTTGACAACCAATTTGTATTTTGGCGTTGGGGACACACATTATGCACATCAGTTATGTAAATTGACTTTTCAATTTGCGTACAGGTAGACATGGTTCATACACACACATGCACACACACACACACACACACACACACACTTTAAACCCAGTTCACACCTCACTCCTCTACCATGTGAACACAGCAAGACCAAAAAAGCATTACAAAGATTGCTAACTACATAGAACATTCTATGATGGTGGCACAAACAAATAAATGGCATTTAATGATAAGTAATATGAATTTTCTAAGGATACATAAACAATTTCCAATAGATAAGAGTCAAATCTATGGGAATATTATTTTCATTATTTGTAATTAATTGTATCTATAATTACTGAGCGGCCAAATTTTTTCTGCCTTTCCATATTCTACCAAAAAGACAATGCTTCCTATGAAGATTTTCTGAACCAAGCATTTAATCCTACTGGCACATGGAAATAGTGTCCTTACTTGGTAACCTGAAGTTATGTCTCTTTTATGAGGCATAAAACTCTTCTCAGCAAACAAACAACACTAATGAATGTTAATATGAAAACTGGCACCAACAATGATAAACAGAACATCTGGTACATTCTGTAAATACTCATTTTGCGGGCTGTATAAAAGTCTCAGGAGGCAAAGAGACCTTGAGAGCCAGTCAGTTGGAGTTTCACAACTAGTCTTTGTTCTTCACGTCTAACAGGATGACTTCTGACTGTTCCCCCACGTGCTGCTCTTCTGAATCCTGTGCCAGGGCTTCTGACTGTGCATTTGCTTCAACCTGTTCCGTGGAAACCACTTGCCTCCCCAGCACCCCTGCTACATCCAGGTGCCAGACTCCCAGCTTCCTATCCAGGTCTCGTTTGCCGACTGGTTGCCTCACACCATGCTACTTGGCTGGGACTTGTAATCCATGCTTGGTGGGGAACTGTGCTTGGTGCGAGGATGGAGTGTTCAACAGCAACGAGAAGGAGACGATGCAGTTCCTCAATGACAGACTCGCCAACTATCTGGAGAAGGTGCGTGGTCTGGAGGAGATGAATGCGGAGCTGGAATGCAGGATCCGAGAGCAATGTGAAGAGGACCTCCCACTGGTGTGCCCTGATTATCAATGTTACTTCGACACCATCGAAGAGCTCCAGCAAAAGGTCTGGTGTCTCTCATTGCCCTAACCTGTGATTTGCTTTATCCTTATACTAAAAAAAAAAAGAGAGAGAGAGAGAGAGAGAGAGAAAGAAAGAAAGAAAGAAAGAAAGAAAGAAAGAGAAAGTCTGTTCTATGGAAGTCTCCCCCAAGGGAAAGGGGTCCTCCAAGAGGTAGTGTGACTTAGAGGAAAAGGTGGTGGGCTGAGCGTCAGCACCCATCAGCATTAGCCATGGGGCTGCCAGTAATCATGAAGTGGCCCAAATAAACTCACATCTAGACTATGTCATCCAGAAAATGAGAAGAAAACTGTATGTAACACTGGATATTTATGCTGCTATCTTTAACATAGATATTGAAATGTCATCTTTTTACTCATGTAATATCATCCTTGTAATCATTTTCTTTTCTTATTGATGAATTTTTATCATCGTGGATGGGGATACACTCATAATACAAACTATCTAGGGAGAAAAATCCAAGTTCAACTGCCAGGAATATTGCAAAATGTCTTAGATCACTGAAAAATCGTTTTTTTCTGTTTCTTTTATAAATTGGTCCTGCTTTTCTCTTCATTGAAGTGACATGGTTAATAAGAAAAATAGGCTGAAAGCTATTTTATACTTTCTTATAAAGACTTCTAAAAGATAAATAGTGGCATAGTTGTTAAATAAATAGTTCTTTACATTTCTTTCAAAGAGCCCTCTATTACATATAACTAACTTACTCACCAGATCTTGTGCACGAAGGCAGAGAATTCTAGACTTGCTGTACAGCTTGACAACTGCAAACTGGCTGCCGATGACTTTAGATCAAAGTAAGTTGAATTTGAATTTGAAAATAATTTATGGCTCCCCCCTCTCTCTCTCTTCCCCCCCAAGTCTCTCACACATGCACACATCTGCACACACCACCAATATTCTCTATATAAGCTTTATTTTAAGCTAAGAATGCTCACAAAGCTCACATTTATTATTTGGGATATGGCTTCCTTGAGTCTTTGTGTCACTCACCAGCATGCCCGGCACTGTACATGGTGTCTAGCAAAATAATCACTGTCTGTATCTCTTTGGCTCTGAAAGGTACGAGTCTGAACTGTCTCTTCACCAGCTGGTAGAGACAGACATTGGCGGCCTGCGGGGGATCCTGGGTGAGCTGACTCTGTGCAAAGCTGACCTGGAGGCCCATGTGGAGTCTCTGAAGGACGATCTCCTTTGCCTTAAGAAAAACCACGAAGAGGTGAGGCAAGTGGTAAAATTGCTGAACAAATGTAGAAGTGACAAAGTCAAACTGATAGATTTCATGTTGTGTATATAAATCTAACTTGGACAGATATTGCTAAAGCTGGAATGAGATTACTCGAGGCACCGTTACAGGATTTTTGTTCCCTTAGTGCCCACAGTTCTTGGTCATACCGCTTCGAAGAATGAAGAAGTAGACCAGATAAAGAGTGGTGGCAGCAAAGCAAAATTTATTGAGTGATAGTATAAAGCTCCTGGAGAGGGAGGGGAACCGAGAGGGTTGCCGTTTTCCCGTTCCAGTTTAGCAGTTTTTAGAAGCTCTTTCCAGGAACTATCTTGAGCATCCTGAGTGTGGGCCGCCTGTGGCTTGGCTGCTAAGGTGTGCCGATCAAGGCTTTGATGAGGCACCTGTCTACCTATCGGGTTGTTGTTCATGTGTTGCTGGTCTTTGGGGCTGATATCTGGAGACTAACTGCCTCAATTTGAGATAGTGACCAATGTTTTATGGATAATTGTTTATTTCAGGATGTCTGGCAAAAGTCATTTCTGCAGAGGCTGCCAGATGGGAGGCTATTATGGTCTTGTCTTTGCTGTAAAACAGGATGCTAGCATGGTTTTTTCTTAGCATCCTGGATCCCAGTTTTCTTGTTGGGGACCCTGGCCCTGACGACCCAAGTGTCCAATTAACCTCTAGCAGCACTAACATTGTCCAGGCTGATCACTCCAGCATATCTCTGGATGTACATATGAAATGGCCCCCAGCCAGTAACACACGAAAGAACCACTGTTCACCTGCCATTGCTTTTGTGAAGGAGGTAACTCTATAAATGGCCTTCCTTGGAGGCTTTATGCCAGATGTACCTCTAATCCATAAAGTATGAAAATCAGACTGATAAACACAGGGTATGAAGGCCGTTTCAGAATGGGGATAACATCTTATGTAATATTTGGGCCACTATTTTAAAATATCCTGTGTCTATAAACCTTTTCATAAAATATGAAGTATATGATTATCTCACATTGATGAGGCTACAAAGTGAAAAGCTGAATGATGTAACATCGTATATTTTCCCTTTGAGCATGTGATGATGATAATAGCATTTACTGAGACCTTCCTCTGTGCCAAGGACTTTCATAAGTGATTTATATGAATATTAACTTGTATCTCACACAATAACTCTCTGGGGAAGGCAAAATTATCATACCCATTCTGCAGATGCAAAAACTGAGCAATGAAAAGAGATTCAACCTAAGCAATCTGAATCTAAATCCCACATTTTTACTCACTTCTCCAGAAACAGGATGCCCTTGGGATGTCAAAGTGAATTTTCTTCTCCAGCCCTCTGTGGCTTTCTTTACTCCATTTCCTCTTTCAGGCAGTCAGCTTGCTCCGGGGACAGCTCGGTGACCGACTCAGTGTGGAGCTGGACACTGCCCCCACCATTGACCTCAACAGGGTCCTGGATGAGATGCGTTGTCAGTATGAAACAGTGCTGGCCAACAACCGCAGAGACGTGGAAGAATGGTTCGCTGTTCAGGTCAGCATCTGGAGCAAGAAAATGACAGGATTTGTCCTTCTTTGCATCCTCTAATCATACCTGTGTTTCAGACTGAGGAGCTGAACCAGCAGCAGGTGTGCAGCGCAGAGCAGCTGCAAGACTGCCAGGCAGAGATCCTGGAACTGAAACGCACAGCAAATGCTCTGGAAATCGAGCTCCAAGCGCAGCAAAGCCTGGTATGAGAAGGAAAGACAGCTCTGTTTTTCTCACTAAAGAATCAGGCCCTGAGATGCTATCCCCTCTTCCGTAACCCCAAGGAGAGACCCACAGTTCACAGGGCAGAAAGTCTGAATTTCTTACTTGCAACAGCTGTATTCCCTTGCTTTCTCCAAATACTGCGGCTTACCTAGCTAGAAGCAGAGGTGATAGGTCAACAGCTTTGTACTGTCCCAGCAGGACGCCTGACCTTCCCTCCTGGCCTTGAGCATGATCCCCAGCACCTTCCAGAGTCAGAGAGAGAGCGGGCGCACGCACGCAGGAGGGTAGGAGCAGGATGAGAGTGGAATCTCTGAGCCAAAGGCATTCAAGTATTCTAGTGAGTTTTAACTCTGTTTTGATATGGGCCACGTTCCCAAACTCATCATCATATAAAAGAATGGTATTCACACTTTGCATTCTACCACTACCCTAAACTTTCCCAGGATCCACACCTCAACCAGACTCTTCACTGTACCCCACACCACCAAGCAACCAGAATACCATCGACTGGGGGCCCCTGGCTGGCTCAGTCAGAGGAGTGCGACTCTTGCTCTCAGGGTCGTGAGTCGAGCCCTACACTGGGTATAAAGATTATTTAAAATAGATAAGCAATTTAAGAAAAAAAGAATAACACACTTTGAAGACCACACTAGCCGCTTCCAGTGGAACACCACTGTCTGCGCCATGTTACAGCCTAGAGAGACTATCTTGGTGAATAATAGTTGTACATTCATCCTCTGAGAGCCTTAAAAGCCTCACAGTAGCTTTACGGGGTAAACCCTTTACTAACCCCACTATATAGCTGAAGAAGACTGAGATTCAGATTACATAGGGGCCATGCAGTTTTTTAAGAGGCAAAAGTGGAACTGGATCCAGCTGGTTCAATCCCAGAGCCTTTTCTCTGAACCACTCTTTAGGCTCCTCCCCACCTCAGGCCCATACTCAGTTTCTCCTCTCAAATGCTGTTGACCCTCCTGAAGCTACATCAGTATGTTGCACGTGGCAGTGAGCACAGTGGTGGTAGGAATAACTAACCCTTACACAGCTTTTAAAATTTTTTCCAGGCACTGTTCAAAGTACCTTACACATATTAATCCATTTAATCCTCACAACCATCCTATGAGTTAAGTACTTTGCATTGCCCATTTTTTATAGAATAAAACAGAGGCTCAGAGAAGCTAAGTCATTTTCTCAAAGTCACACAGCTGCACTAGGGTAGAGCAAGGATTTGAAAGCAGCGCTCTGGCCCCAGGACTATGCTAAACAGCCCTCCTGAATACACTCTTTTCCTTCTGCAGACAGAATCTCTGGAATGCACTGTGGCAGAGACGGAGGCCCAGTACAGCACCCAGCTGGCCCAGATACAGTGCCTGATTGATAATGTGGAGAACCAGCTGGCCGAGATCAGGTGTGACCTAGAGCGGCAGAACCAGGAGTACGAGGTGCTGCTGGACACAAAGGCCCGGCTGGAGTGCGAGATCAACACGTACCGTGGTCTCCTTGAGAGTGAAGACAGCAGGCAAGTTCCACACGATAATTCTCCAAATCCCCCAAGTCACAAAGAGGCTCATGCAGGAGAATCCTGCCTCCTCAAGGTCTGCCCAAGGTGAAACCTCCCTAACGCATTAAAGAATCTCCTTACAAGGGTAAAATACAAACAAACAAAAATATAGCTCAGGCTAATCACATGACAGTAGAAGTGTTCAAAAGTATTCGGAAGTTCTAAAGCGGAATGAGTATCATATATGATTCCATGCCGGCGATCTCCCTTTGTTCCTGTCTGGCACCAAAGGGAAATCAGGAACATACACAAGACAACATCTGCAAGTGAAGTAAACATGTAAAATTGTATTCAGCTGGCATAGCTGCAGTGCATGTGGAACCGCAATGCTGGGTCCAGGCCTGACATAGGCTTAAGTCAAATGTTACTCGGCGAAGAGTGTTCAGAACATCATTTGCAGGGCAGATTTTGGCAAAATCTTTCCTGAGTTGAAATTCTATCCAGCTTTCCCTTGTTAAGCTTGGTTCAAAATTTCCACAGGCTCCCCTGTAACCCGTGTTCTGCCATAAGCACATCAAGCAACACCTGTGAGCCTTGCTCGGCGTATGTGATTTGCACTGTCGAAAACTGCTGTACATGAGCGCTAACCCCCCCCCCCCCATGTGCTGGATGGAGGAATCAAAGTCGGCGGGGTCCTGGAAAGCAAAAGGGGCAGCACAGACAGCCCAACCTGAAAGTCAAGAAGGCATTTCTACCCTAAACTTGTCCTCTAAACATCCTCACTATATTTCTGCTTTATCATTTCCTCTCCCACCTGCTTGTGATATTCGAGCAGTCTATAAAACTTTCTTGCTAATCTCCAAATAAAATGTGTTTCATTCCTTTAACATGGCAAACATAGCTTTGTGGCTTATAACAGTGGTTGTAATAACCATGTGATGCCAGGGTAATTGCCTATGCCTGGCTTAATGCAAAATCAAAGTGGAACTGAAGTAGGAAACTCTATCCTTTTCTACATGGACATGTATAGAAGGAGTTCACCTGGGTTGTCAAACACTGAAATGGCCATTTTATTGTTGGATAAAACAATAAGACCTTCCTCAGTAAAATCTCGTAGAGTCCTAATTTTTAGTTAAGAATATAACACCCTTGGGGCACCTGGGTGGCTCAGTGGATTAAGCCTCTGCCTTCAGCCCAGGTCATGACCTCAGGGTCCTTGGATCGAGCCCTGCATCAGGCTCTCTGCTCAGCAGGGAGCTTGCTTACCCCTCTCTCTCTCTCTGCCTGCATCTCTGCCTACATGATCCCTCTCTGTCAAATAAATAAATAAAATCTTTAAAAAAAAAAGAATATAACGTCCTTGTAGCTTTAACAATGCACTAAACAAGATGCCAGTAATTTTAGCACTTAGTGTTGCATAAAATTTTTAATCTAAAAATATAATGCATCATTCATTTGTAAGAACCAGCAAAAAGCCTTGCATTCTAGTGTCCGTGTATAGTCCACCATGAGAACTCTCATGTAAAACAATGGCCTCAAAATTTACCTGCTCTAAATGCAAGAAGCATTCATGACCCAAGGACTCGGGCTTCTCATAGTATGTATTTGGTATTTACCACTCATGGATTACTTGCTAGCCCTACAAAGGTAATATTTCCTCCCTATATCTCAGCTACTGATCTCAGTCTGGACCTAAAGCCCAACTTTTCTCTCTCCTACACAGCCTCTTTCCCAGAAGGCTCCAGCCAGGACAACACTGTAAAGGGGACTCCTTTCTATTACCCTCAGACTTGCTTTTCCAGCATCTGGAATGTGCTGGCTCCCCAGTCCCTGGGGCAGGAAAAGAGGCTGTACGAGGGTCTTGAGCTAGAGATTAAAGACCTAGTTACCCCTAACTGCAAGGGGACAAGAAAGAGTTATCTTCGCATGTGCCCCAAAGGAGAGGAGAACCAAATATGGGTGAGTGCTGAATTCTCTCCCAGAGCAGCTTGAAACACCTAGATGAAGAAAGGTAGAGGAAACCTCAACAATAAATCTGCTCTGGGGAAACAAAGCAAGGAGAGCTTGGAGAATGGCAAGGGATACAGTTTGTCTAGAGTGTAAGCAGCGGGTACAGGAGTCAAGGGATATGAGGTAGAGTCAGCTGGGTCAAGCCTGTGACCTGGCAATCAAGAATTTGTAAATTGCTTTGTAGGAAGCGCTGAGCATTTCCTCACTGGAAAATGGTGCTATTAAGGCAGATAAAGAAGCTCTTCAAGATAGACTATGTCATAGAATACTCACAGGTTAGCCAGATTGCCAAAAGTTAACAAATGAGCTGGTGGTAGCAAATGAAAGTGACAGACACCCAATGTTGTCTCAAAAAAAAAAAAAAGTAATAAAAGAAGGGGCACCTGGGTGGCTCAGTCAGTAACCATCTGCCTTAAGCTCAGGTCATGATTGCAGGGTGCTGGGATTGAGCCCCACTGCCGGCTCCTTGCTCAGCAGGGAGCCTGTTTCTCCCTCTCCCTCTGCCTCCTGCTCCCCTGTTTGTGCTCACTGTCTTTCAAGCTGTCAAATAAATAAATAAATAAATAAAATCTTAAAAAAAAAAAAACGGAAGGAAGGAAGAAGCTACCTTCGTGGCTGAAGTGCTATATACTTATGAGTAAGACATTTCGGATCAAATACACTTACAGAGAAGTGTGTAAACCTGGCGATTCACAGACCTGTACCCCTGGGGCTAATAATAAATTATATGTTTATAAAAAATTTAAAAAAAAAAACAAATACGCTTATAGGGAAAGGAAAATTGATCAAGCAGCACCAAAGATGTCCAAGATGAAAGAAATGAGGAGTATAATTGATGAAATATGATACTGAAGGAATCAGAGAGGAGTCAGCTCCAGAACACAAATAAAGCAGTCGGCCATGGACGGAAGGAAAACCTCTACCCGAGACACTCAAGAGAAGAAAAAGATGGAGAAAAGGGTATGAAAACAAAAATACAAAATAACTGTCAAACTCTGATTCTGAAAGTGATACACACAAGTAGTTGTAGAATGTGTAGAAAAAGATAAAGAAGAAAATAACATTAATCAAAGTTATAAAACTCAAAATCCTTTTTATGTGTTTTTAAAATGATTATGATTTCAAATGCTATTATTTTTGGAGTCAGATTTATCCATTTTTTGTGGTTTCTTGATTTTGAGTCATTGTCACTCTTAATTTATGATTAATTTATAAAAGAAATTTATAAATAAAATTAAAAATGTATACACTCTTAATTTATTAAAAAATTTTCTTATGCTTTCTCTTAGCACATCTATGACTTCCATTTTTCGCAAGCGAATCTATGATCCACTTGTAATTCAAGTATATGAATAGAGTAATGAGCATTACCAGAGCGACTCAGCTGTATCAAATCTTAACTTTCTGTATTAATCACAGTTTATTGGGATCTAATTTTCATACGATAAAATGCATCAATGGAAAGTATGCAGTTCCACGAAATTTGAAAACATACAGTCATGTAATCATCCACATCAAGATACAGACTAGCATAGCGAGATGTAAAATACCAACCTTGAGAGTGTCTTCATGCTCCTTCCCAGTCAGCTCACCTCCCTCACGAGAAGACAATCACTACTCTGATATCTAAGGCTACAGATGAGTTTTACCTGTTCTTGAAGTTAATATAAATGTAATCATACTGTTTGTACCCTTTTGTGCCTGACTTCCTCAGGCTGACATAATGTATGAAGTTCTTCCGTGTTACTGTGAATACCAATAGTTCATTCTTTTTTTGTTACTGAGTATCAATCTATTCTATGAACATACCACAGTGTGTGGATCCATTGTCCTCCTTGTGAGCAGTTGGGTTGTTTCCAGTTTGGGTGCTATTGAGAATAAAAATGCTACAAGCATTTTTATACAAGTCTTTTTGTGTATATACATGTACTTACTTCTCTTGGGCACAGAACTAGTCATGTATCTGCTGGGTCAAAGGGAAGTTCGTTTATAAAATAGTGAATCCTTTCACCCAGCAAGTGGCCTGCCCTTTTGCTTTCTTAGTGGTATATTTTAATCAACAAAAGATTTTAACTGGAATGAAGTGTTACGTTCCTTAGTGTTCTCTGTGTGCTAGAAATCTTTGCTCACCGCAAGATTATGAAGATACTCTTCCATGTTGCCTTCTAAAAACTCCATACATACAATCTTCACATTTAAGTGTTTAATCCATCTTGAATTAATTTTTATAATTAATTTAAATTATTAAATTAATTTATTATTTATTGTTTATTATATTAATATTTATTATAAATACTAAGTAATATAAATCTAAATTAATATGGATATTAATTTATATTAATATTTATTATTAAATAAGTTTTGTGAGGTAGAGCTCAAGATATAGTAATTTCTTTTATACAATTACCTGATTGGCAACATTTATTGAAAAGGCTATCCTTTTCTCATTGACCTACTTGGGAAACTTTGTCAAAAATCAACTGACCACTGGGGCCCATGGGTGGCTCAGTGGGTTAAAGCCTCTGCCTTTGGCTCAGGTCATGATCCCAGGGTCCTGGAATTGAGCCCTGCATCGAGCCCCACATCGGGCTCTCTGCTCGGCGAGGAGCCTGCTTCTCTTCCTCTCTCTCTCTGCCTGCCTCTCTGCCTACTTGTGATCTCTGTCTGTCAAATAAATAAATAATATCTTAAAAAAAAATAAATTAATTAAAAAAAATCAACTGACCGCGTGTATGTGAGTCTATTCCTAGAATCCGTACTCTTTTTCACTATTTGCCAACCCTCATGCCAATATCACTCTATCCAACTATTGTAGCAGTATAGTAACTTGTATGAATTTATACTCTCACCAGCAATAAATGAAAGGCTGTATACAGTACATTTGTTATCAAACTGTGATTTTTTCCAATCTGATAGGTGAAAAGATAAAATGATTTCTCAGTGTACTTTAAGTTTACATTTCCTTTTTTATTAGTGACATGAAGCATTTGTTCTAAGGCACTTTTTAAATTGAATGCCTTTTGTATTTTCTTTCCGGTCATTATCTACAGTGTTATTGCAAATATGCTTTCCCAGTTTGTCATCTGTCTTCTGATTTTAGAGGTTGTGTTTTTACCAATGTACAAGTTATTCGGTGTCGTCAGTTTATAAGTTTTTATGGTTTCTTTATTTTGGTCATTATTAGAAAGGCCTTCTGACTTCAAATTTATAAAAGAACTCTCATATTTATTAGCACAATTATGATTTCATTTTTTTGCATTTGAATCTTTGATCAATTTGTAATTTGTTAGGCTCTTGGGTGGCTCAGTCAGTTAAGCATCTGCCTTTGGCTCAGGTCATGATCCCAGGGGCCTGGAATCAAGTTCTGCATCAGGCTCCCTGATGCAGAATGGGGAGTCTGCTTTTCCCTCTGTCCCTCCCCCTGGTTGTGTTCTCTCACTCTCTCTCTCAAATAAATAAAATAGTTTTTAAAAATGTATAATTTGTCCTACTGTAAGGCATGAGGTATGATTCTAACATTTCCTGCCCTACCTTTGACCTCAAGTGATACAGAATTGTCCCCAAACTACATATCATAGTCTATCTTTTCCCTCACTGATTTTAAATGTCACATTTATCATATACTAAATCC